CTGATTTCCATAGTGGCTGCACCAGTCTGCAGTCCCACCAACAGTGCACCAGGGTTCCCTTTTCCCCATAACCTCACCAGCATTTGTTGTTTGTTGATTTATTGATGATAGCCATTCTGACTGGAGTGAAGTAGTATCTCATTGTGGTGTTTATTTGCATCTCTCTAATGATTAGTGAGGTTGAGCATTTTTTCATATGCCTGTTGGCCATCTGTATATCCTCTTTAGAGAAATGTCTCTTCATATCCTCTGCCCATTTTTTAATTGGATTGTTTGTTTTCTTGGTGTTGAGTTGCATGAGTGTTTTATACATTTTGGATATTAACCCCTTATCAGATATATCATTGACAAATATCTTCTCCCATTCAGTAGGCTTCCTTTTTGTATTATTGATTGTGAATGACTCTTTTGGATTAAGGATGGGCAAACTATGGACCAGGGGCAAACCTGGCCCATGTCTGTGAGCTGTGAGCTGAGATTGTTTCTTCCTTTTTTTTTCTTTTAACCTTTGTAAGTGGCTCAAAACATCAAAAGAAGAATACTAGTTTGTGACATGTGAAAATTGTAACAAATTCAAATGTAAGTGTCCGTAAATAAAATTTTGTTGGAATATAGCCTTGCTTATTCATGTTTGTCCCAAGCTGGTGCTGTCTGTGGCTGATTTCCTGTTACAATGGCCGTGTCGAGCAGTTGTGACAGGGTCTGTATGGATAGTAAATCCTGCTATATTGACCATCTGGCCTTTAACAGACAAAGTTTCCTACCGTCTGTCTTAGGCCTCCCCACAGTTTGGAATCCATCTGCTTGCTTTCTCCACGGGGAGGGTCAGTACCTCTCCTCATGAACACCCCAGTCCTCGCCCCCAAGACAGGAAACCCCAAGCACTGTCTCTCCTTCCCCAGGTCTGTTGTTGGGGTGGTCATGGTAGAGCTGGTTCAGCCAAGGTCGTATTTGGGAGCCAGAGGGGAGGGGAGAAGAGGGCACAGGGCCAGAAAGAGGGAGATGTTTGGTCTGGCCCCAATTGTTTGCAGTCATCTTTGGAATGTGAGAGAATAAGGACATGCTGGTTTCCAGCTGTCGATGTGGGATGCAGGAACCAGGGGCCATGCCTCCTTTCTGGCCATGCTTAAGGCTGAGGAAGGACCAGGTTTGGGGAGAGTCAAACCTGTGATCATTGAAAGGACAAATAGAGGGGTGGTCCCCCGAGTCTGGGATGGCAGTCTGAGTTTGTGAGTCACCAGCAGATAGGTGGTAAAGAAAGCCTTGGTAGTGGGTGACACCACCAAAGAAGTGAAGAGGTCTCAGGACTTATGACAGGCCCTTCAGCTTTTAAAAGTCAGGTAGAGGGAGAAGAACCCATGAGGACAGGATTCTAAATGTCTTGTTCACTGCCAGACCCCTAGCCTGGCCTGGCACACACTACTTGCTCAGTACATTATTCATTGACTGTATAAGTGAACTTCCAATTAACGAGAATCATCCGCTCTGAACACATCTCACAATTCCAGCATCACACTTGCCTATCTCTTTTTCCTCTCTCCTTTCCCATCCTGCTGCCTCTTCCTTTCTCTCCTGTCCTCTTGCCTTCTTCCCTGTTATGTGTTAAACCTGTCAGGGCACACAGGGCCCCAGGCCATACGCCGGTGTTGCTTACCTGGCTATAACTCTGGGTGGGACTGGTGGGTGATCCAGCGAACTAGTCAATATATATCTTTCTTTTAGTCTATATAGGTTGTTTTAAAAAGTGTTACATTTCCTCCTGTTGAACTTCCCCTCTTTAAGAACTATTTGTTTAGTTGGTTAATGCTGCTTTGACTTCCATCCCTACCTTCTTACTGATGTGTCAGAACTTGGTGTCACCTGTGATCTTAATTAGGAAGTTATCAGTTACAGCACTGGGGTAAAGACAGAGATGTCCCACATGGGTGCAGCTCTGCCCTGGGTGAGATGACGCAGAATGCTCCCAGGCTAGGGCTTAGTCATCAATAAGCCACCTTTTGGGTGATATTCTTCAGTTTTTGATGCCCGCACCTAAGGAAAAAAAAACCTCTCTGATTTCTTTCTGTCTCATTGATGAAAAGTCACTGGCAATGGAATCTGAGGTCATACTCCAGCACAGAGAGATTACATCTCCTGCTCATTCCTTATCTACATGACCGATTGATCATTGAGGAAAATTAAATCGGTCTGCCAAGATCTGATCTTCACATACTACTGAGGTGAGTGCAGATGGATTGCTTGTTTTTGCTAGACTCACTCTTGACACTGAAGAGAAGTGAACTTGTATTACGCCTGCTTGGGATTTGCATGGGTTGGCATGAGGGAAGCCAGGGAGACCTAGCAAGGCTCCAGGCCATGCTTTGTGACAGACATTATGCTGGGTGTTTTACAAGGATTTGCTCGTTTGATATTCACAACTGCCCAGAGAGGTTTGGTAATATTATTCCCGTTTTCCAATTCAGGCAACTGAGGCTCAGAGGTATAGAGTATGTTATGCAACGCCACGCAGCTGGTCAGTGGCAGAGGTAACACTTTAATTTCTGGTCCTTCACACCGACTCCCCGTAGTTCTAACACATGGTGTTCTGAATAGTCTAAACTCCTAAGGCTTCAGACATTTACCTGGGTGAGTACAAAAACTTCAAAATTTATAACTCTGTCCTCAAAAACCTAGTCCTCATCTTCTCCCACCTCCTGGACATTTCCGCTTGGACATCTTTCTAAAAACTATAGCTGCACCTGTGAACTCAATTATCTTCCCTCTAAACTCCAGGACCTCCACCACCCCGCCCATCAATGCTCTGTGTTTTTTAGTGGGATGTCACTCTTCCAACCTCTCATGGTCTGAGTTCATTTAAACCCCTCCCTGGGGATCCTTTCTCTGAAATATTTCTTGTCTCCGTCTACCATTTTTTATTTCTATCACGCCTAGGGCTTATATTACTGCAGCAGCTAAATACGTCTCACCAAGCTGTCACAGTTGAAACACTGCTTAATCAAATCAATTCCTTAAACGTAAGGTCCTCAATTTTGTCTGCATATTGGAATCACTTGGGAAATTTATATCAACTACCAAGAATTATCTAAAGTCTTGGCTCTCCCGTTTCCAGCATTCCAGGGCCACACCAGCACTGACCTCTGAGAGCAGCGATGTTGTCCTAAGGTTCTGGGGACCAAGCCACAGTACCTAGGCATCAGGGAAGTATAACTCTAGTCATACGTTCATCCCTTTGGAGGAAGGCAAGCAGGCTTGATTGCGAATACAGAGAGTCAAGTAGTGAAATTTACCATCTTTGCACCCTCCACTTTCCAATATTTCCCCCCGAAAGTATCTGCTTTTTTCCGGTGATTTACTCAGGCCAATGGTGCCTCTACGAGGTCCGTGACCCTCCCACTACAGGGCCATGCTTCAGACTTGCCCGTTTCACAGTTTACAGATTTTCTGACCAACTTACTCAGAATTCTCTTGCAAAAGATGATGATTATAAGATGCACTGATTGTAACTAACATCCTGATTTGACAGCCATTAAAATGTGAAAGATGGTGCATCTTGATCTTAATGAAATCCAGTAATACAATAACACCCTTTGAGATGAGAGTTTTGTGCAACAGCCTGTGAGGAACCACTGGGCAAGATAGCTCTATTTTAACAGGGGTGTCCTGGATACTCCCCAAAGGGCAATGGGGTAGGAGAGGCAGTTGAGGAGGCGTTTGACGAGGAAGGGGGACATTTCCAGCAACTGCCATGGGTCCATTTCCAGGAAGATGGCCTGGAAAGGAAGAGACAATGCCTCATGGCCTAGGCTCTGCCTGGCGAAGAACACGACGGCCCAGCACTGGAGAGAAGAATAGTGCCCAGGAGGGAACAGTGCCCATCTACCTGGCTTTCAAATGCTGAGAAGGAGCCTCTGGCTTGCTCAACAAACGGCATCATGATATTGCAAGAGGTTTGTGTGTTCTGTGATAAGTGGCAGGGGATGGGTGTAAGTGTTGAATACCAGCTGTGCCCTCTTTTGGCTGTGTAAACTTTCTTAACCTATCTGAACTTCAGTATCTTAATACATAGGTTGGAATTATCATAACAAGTGTCAGATCGATTACATTTGGGCCGTAAGTAACAGAAAGCTGACTAGGATGGTTTATTGAAGTGAGGCTTTCTTTTATGACACTTCTCAGGAATTCCAGAGGTAGGCATTTGGGGGAGGGTTGGTGACACTGGGAAGGTTGCCTCTTTCTTCCTGCTGCATCATCCTCTGTGTGAGGCTTTTGTCTTCAGGTTGGTCTCCTGTAGTCATGGATGGCTGCTCTACCTCTCATTAACCTCTACATTCCATGCAGGAAGGCGAAGGAAGGAAAGGAAGAAAGGGAAGACCCCCAAATGTTCCCAGAGATCCCCAGCCAGCTTCCAGCTGGAACCCACTGGTCAGCATTGACCCCCACAGTCACTCAGCTACGAGGGAGTCTGATTGGGCCAGAGTTAGCGGGCGCTTTGCCACCATGAACAAAACTGGGATTCTGTTAGCAAGAAAGAAGGTGACTGTGGATACTGGGTAAGTACGTGGTAGCACAGCCCCCAGTGCTGACCTCTCAGCACTGTGAGGCATGAATGAGCTGACACATGAATGAGCCTAGCCCTGCGCAAACATGCAACAAATCTTCCTGCACTTCCCACAGCATATCCTGCTCGATCCCTTTCCCCTTCCTCACAGTTGGAAAATACATTGCAACTTGTGGTCATAACACAGAGTGGTATGTAACCACGAGGGAGCCAGACAGCTGGCTGTGAGACCTCACAGTGGAGAAGAATGGACAGAACAGTTTGCAACAGGAAGTCAGGGCGGACGCCAACACGTAACCGTGGATACAATATTGTTTCAGATGGAGAAGGTCAGTGTGTGGTTAAAGTCCTTCCCTGATGACCCCAGCAGATTGCTTTCTTCTCGTCTGTGTCCCAGAGGGAACACTACACGTGTTCATTTGTACCATTTTATGACACCTCTTTTACTGTGATTTTCATGTGTTGCTGACAACCACACTGTAAACTCCTTCAGGACAAAACTTGTCCCTTGTTGATCTCTGTCTGTGGCAGTGGTCACCCCTTGTCCTCTCCACAGCTCAGCAGCTTTGGGAGCCAGCCTGGGTTGAAGCGAAGGTTGGGCCTGGGGTGAAGCGAAGGCAGCTCCGTGGAATGTATGTGACCCCAGGCTGAAGACACTCAAATTTAAATAAAAACCAAACAAACTTTGGGACACATAGACCTCAGTGATCTAGCGATGGCTACTAACCTGACAAAAAGAAACACAATTTTTCTTGTGCCTCCTGAGAGAAGTACATACTGAGGAAGAATTCTTGTCAAAGAGTCAAACCTGAAATTGACCAAGCTTTGAGATGTAACTACCAATTTATAGGAGAGAAAAGGTATGGGGGATGTGTTAAATGATGCCACAGGAATGCAATTAACAAGGTCCAGATGGTGGGAAACCCTAGAGGACAAAATGACCAGTTTCTTCAACAAATAAATTGCAAGGAAAATAAAAAATTTGGAGGGCAAAACTATAGATTAAAAGAAACTTAAGTGACATATCAACCAGTTGTATTATTTACCTTATTTAGTTCCTCATTCAAACAAAGTGTTAAAAAATTTTGAGATGATTAGAGAAATTTGAACACTGACTTGATTAGGGAAATTTTTTTTAGGGATGCTGATGACATCATGGTTATGTTTTTGAAAGAGTCTTTATCTTTTAGAGATGCATGTTGAAATGTTTTAGAGATAAAATAATATTAGCGATTTCCTTCAAAATAACACAACATGTGTGGAAGGGAGTGGACGGGGCTATGGAAGGATTAAGGTTCACCGAGGGCTGATGCATATGGAAGTTGGGTGATAGGTGTATAGAAGGTCATTGTCTTCATCGCTCTAATTTTTGCTTTATTTGAAATGTTCATAATAAAAAGAGGAAGAAAAAAGACTAAAAGAGGAAAAATCACTGGGCTAGCCAAACTGAACCATGGCAGACTGAGGTGGACTTACCATGAAGCTGATGGGGGTCAAACTTCAGGGCCTCTTACAATCCAGGCCCCTTCCAAGACAATTGTCTGTCCATGATTTTTCCTACAGAGGGTTTTCCAAACTGGAAAAGCTTCCAGGCTCACAAAACTTGAATCTACCCCTGAGGGCAGACAGCCACTTGACCCCCCTTTTAGGCATTCAGTAACTGTTCACTGATACAATTTTTAAAAAACATTTTTTTTTTTAGCTGAGCCATCCTGCCACCTGTTGGCAGCTCAGTGGCATCTCAGCTCAGGGCCATGTGAGAATCGAACCAGCGACCCTGTTGCTCAGAGCTCGCACTTTTGAGTGAGCTCTTAATCAACTGAGCCACTCGGCCGGCCCTTAAATGTTATCACATCTAACAAAATAATGATTTTTAAAAATTTAGTATTTTGGGCCGGCCGAGTGGCACGATGGTTAAGGGCTGGCTTGGGACGCCAGAGGGCCCCGGTTCGGATCCCACATGTGAGGGCCAGTGACACTGCCCTCCACACAAAAAAAAAATTTAGTATTTAGCTTTGTTTACTTTCAGCAATTAAAAAATTCCACTGTTCTTGGCATTCAGAAAGCTGATGTGAATTCTAATTGTAATTCCTTTGTATTAGCATCTCTGTACTTTAGAGCATCTTTTCATTCATCTTTGATATTCTGCAGTAACAAAATAATGTGTCTAATTTAGTGCTTCTTCAATCTTAGGATTCAGCTAATTCATTCTGAAAAATTATCAGACATAATCACTTCAAATATTGTCTTGCTCCTGTTTTTTCTATTGTGTCGTTTTAAAATAATTTTTTTATTTTTCAATTACAGCTGACATATAATATTATATTAGTTTCAGGTGTACAACATAGTGGTTAGACATTTATATAATTTTTGTGGTCTGAAGCTGGCTGGCTACCAGGTGTGTCAGTTCTGGGGCCTCTTGGGAGGGGCTCTGGTGCAGGCCCAGTAAGCTGCTGCCTGTGCCTTGCCTGGGGACCACTTGGTATGAGCTACAAAGTGATCTGCAGATGGTTACCACCTGCACTGGGCTTGGAGGTGCCAGGGAGAAGCCAAGTTAGAAACTGAGGCCAGCTGCTGGTAATGCCGGGCTTGAGGCTGCTCAGCAAGAGGTACAGGGTCATGCCAAGGCCAAATGCTGCTTGTTTGGGTTTTGTGAACCTTTGAGAAGTTTTAGGAAAGTCCACAGCAGGAGCCAAGACAGGCCGTTTATATGGAAAAGCCACTGGAAGAGGCTTGTGTGGGCCTACAAGTTGGGTGGGGCAAGGTCTCAGAAATCACCAGGGCGGGGCTAACAAAAGGTGTTAGCCAGGTCGATGGAGACTTGAATATGGCCCCTGCCTGCGTCTGTTTGCTGGGAGGAGAGAGGGCTCAACAAAGGAAGAATGGCTTCTGCCAGCACTTCTGTTTGGGAGAAAGCTGTCCCTCTAGCCCTTGCCCTAAAGCCAGACAACTCAGTTCCTTCCTGTATGTCCCTGGGAACTTTTGAGCTGCTGCTCCAGCTCTGGCGCTCAGAGCGAGTGAGTCTGTCAATGAGTAAGTCTGTGCACAGGCCCTTTAAGAGGAGCACCTGGGACTGCAGCCGCCCTAGTCTTACTCAGCCACAATCTTAGCTGGTATCCACAGCCAGAATTTATGGGAACTTCTCTTCCCAGCACTGGAAACCTGGGCTGGGGCCTCTCGCTCCTCAGGGGAGAACCTCTGCAGCTGCGATATCCCTCCTGACTTTCAATGGTCACACACGGACTAGCCCGTTCCGTGTCTCTGCCCCTCCTACCAGTCTCCAGGTGGCTTCTTCTGTATGTCCTTAGTTAAAGGACTTATCTTCAGTTAGATTTCAGGTGATTCTCAATGATGGTTGTTCTGTAGTTTAGTTGTAATTTTGAAGTGGTCATGAGAGGAGGTGAGCACAGTGTTTACTTACTCTGTCATCTTTACCGGGAGCTTCAATAATAATTCTTTAATGTTTCCTAAGACACACCCATATTCCAATTTCCTGAATTGCCTCAAAATGATTGCTTCTTAAGCAAAGATCTCCAATTAATGGCAGAAAGATGAAATTAGAGCCATTAATGGACGGTCTACCTTTTTGCATTTCATGTTAGTTTAAGTCACACTTTACCCCTCGATTTCAGGT